AGGTGTGTAGAATTTCGCAGCTTGGGTTTTGGTGCTATTTGCACGAAGATATTCGACCAGCGGTGCCGAATCGGTGTTTTAGCACGGATTCTCTCGTGCTAAGGCCAAACGTTTCCGCTCGAAACAAGTATTTGCGCAACAGCTTCTAATCCAGAGATTAGCCGCAAAAGTGATTATATTTAAGAAGAAAGTTGAAAAATCATCCTCGGAATTAAAAAATCATGTTTCAATATGTCACAAACGACCAGCGCTATTTGGAGGAATGCAGTTTAGGAGAAAAATGCTTAGCGTTACTGTGCTCGATGTGTGGATGCATCTCAGCAGCGCCAGCGACACTGAATCTCGGTACCAGCTGAGATCATGGCATTCCTTTGTTTAGCATTTAGTTCTCTTCAAGTTGTTTGAAAAATCCGTGAAGTTTAAAGGGTTATATCAATTTCCAAGCTTTTAGCAGAACTTCTTAGAACCACATTTTACGGTTATGCACTTATGACTGCAAAAATGCTATTGAGGAAGACGATGCCCTTTATAGCATTTTTGAGATAAAATTCAATTAGTTTTCTGAGTTTTGCTTTCGGCGATGAAATTATAATCTGGATGCCGACCTCATCTCCTACAAAAAATGTCGCAGTCGTAATTTTTTATTGTGCATCATTTAAGGTTTGCTTTCTGATCAACAACAGCTGTTGTTTTTTTTTTCTTCTGAGTTTGTGTTAATTGGTGGACAAACAGGCACCCATAAGTGGATGAAAGCGAATAAAAACAAACTAAAAGAGACACATTTTAAGAAATAGTAATACAAACACAGAGAGGAAGAAATCAAAACTATTTAAATGTATGTGTACATATAAATAAATAAATCAGTAAATATATATGAATAATAGGAACAGCTAGGAAAAGGGCGTTTCCGTCGATTACATTGTACACACGACTGGATCTCATCTGTAAAACGACTGCAGAACGAATTTATATCTTTATACAAAATAGTCCAAATAAGTTTATAAAACACATTTGTAGACATAGCCAGTTTTGTAGGTGACAAATGCGTGATTGTTTTATCACAAGCAATCTACGGTATTTTTTTTTTAACATTTATTTAATTTTTTTTTTATCCCCATATACAGCTCTCTGCCTTTCAGCATAGTATTTACGAGCTGACTGGGGACTTCTTTGACTATTGATTGCCAACACTGTTCAACTAAATCTTGCATTTCTCCACCTGGAATTTTAATCCTCGTTCCAATTTCTCGCATTTTTCATCTGGTTCGCATGATTCTTCCACTACAGGATCAATCAATGAATATCGCTTTCCTCGGTTTTGCCGCCAACGATAAGTGCGCCGCTAACTCATGCAATTTTTGGGCTCTTATCACGCTGCTGCATTGCATCAGTGGCCTTGGAATGGATGCGATTGACCATCGCATTATGTCAATGTACATCACAGATGATATTCCAATCTGGCGAAATGAAGACGGATTAAAGCGAACCGCGGTAATGCATTAATTCCGAAAGCCAGCCACTATTCTCATTAGCTTTTCCTCTTTTTTTAATTTAATTTTTAATGATTTCTGTGCAGTGAGTCGGAAAATGTACTTATCAGTTTCATCGTGAGCTAGAGCAGCCTTTCATCCGCTCGACCCCCCGCTTTGGCGAATGCATGTTTCTGTTTACCCGGCAATGTGTCATTTCTTTGTGAGCATTAACTAGAATTCGAGACTAGATGTCCTCCTAGAACAACCTGCCTGTTGTATGAGCAGAGAAAGCGCCGGGGAGGAAAGCTGCAGCTAAAAAGATATGTCAGCTGGGAAAAACACGTTCCATAATTTGCAGTAAAATTTATGGAGTGATTTTGAATGTGGTCTTGTGCACTTGTGGAAGAAGGGAGAGGTGCGATGGTTCGATGGCCTTAGCTGCGTTATCGATCTAATGCATATTGCAAATGATTATGATATGTACAAAAACATGCGCTGGTGGCGTAGTAAAATTCTCCGGACCTCTTGTGCATGATTGACCTCTTGAACATGACTATGAAGAGGTTTTCGAGTGCCTTTAACAATGACCTGGATGGACTGAATCAACAAAATGAATAACTCTGCTTTTTAGAGTCTACTTCAAAATGCAGTGCTTGGCCAGGTGATGACCGCGCGGTTTATATACATAGTACAAAATTCAAGCCGACTGACCGAGCAAATGGGCATTCCTTTTCTGTGATGCGAACCAGTCACTGGAGTGTGTATGTTGTGCATGAATGTTTGCTTATTTATTAATTGCCGCCACGTGTATCTCATTTATTTTAATGGGCAAATTTCAGCATTTTTCCCCATTAAAAGAGGAAATTAGAGAATACCAAGGGACAAAAAAAACGGAGGCGGAAGATCATTTACGGAAATGGATCCTTCTTGATTCCTTCAGTTTACAGGAAAATTCATTTGGCTCTCCAATAAACAATTTCCGAGAGCGAAATCTAAACACTGCGCTTAAATTAATAGTTGATGCCGAACAAGGTTGCAAAAGCGACTGTGACCACTCGAATCGTCCGGATTTATAACAGTACTGCCCGGAGTGATATTCAGGACTGTTAGCGCTAATAATCGCTGCTCCTGCCACCGGAAAATAAGATCATCTCGGGCTGACAGTGGGACTGATAATGAAGTTTGCTCAGACTGACGACTTTTTACTGCCCATGCTGACAATCAGAACAGACCACATCCGTTATTTCGAATTGTGAAACTTCGTTTGACGCCCTTGACATTGTTGTGATGTGGGCACATTAAGCGCAAATAAGAGGTCGCTCAGATGGATGACCTCATTCGATTACTAGCTGCTCATCAGGCAGGCTATGAATGACTGGTCAGCGTCGTCAAATTTATTATTGTACTTAAAATTTTGGCATGGCTGTTTGTTAGCAACAACTAATACATGCACATACGCGCTACTCACACACGCCACACACACACACACTCACACACACAAGCATACATATGCATGCACGCATACAATTTATAAGGAATGGAGAGAGATGATAATTTGGATTTAATACTTCACGGCATCCTTAAATTTAGTAAGCGTGAGAACTTTGTCGGCCTTTCGCTGTGACACGTCACTGTATTTAGCTTACAAATGCTTGATGAAACAAATTGGTTTTAAACAATTCTCAAAAATTCTTCAGTACGTCTGTGCAAAAGATTTTGCAGTCATGATAAGTAAAACACTGCAGCAAAATTTTTTTGAATTGATCTGTAGTGCTGCTTTCAACACCATTTGGCTCGAGTTCCGGCTGTCTAAAGTCTGTTCGAGCTGTAAGATCAATTTTTCGATGGTTTTTTACGCTTTTTCTTGCATCAATGCAATGCAGAAACGCGTATTGTTTCGATTCGTTTTGACGCATAATGGTGGCCGAAAGATATATGGAGAACTCGAATCACTGAAACTGCCTTTACGGTAGCCACTGCAGCAGGTAGAATCAGTAGTCTCCATACAGCTTTTTTTCTTTGCTGTTGCTGCTGCTCTACATCGCTGAAAGATGATTTGGTAATAATGTTCACAAGCAGATCATAAATGGCAGTGCACATCGGTAATACGGTAGCTTCATCGGGAATGATGTATGACCTTCGTGTTTTTCCACATCGAACGAACTGTCTTCAGCCTGCAATCAGCTGTTGTACTCCGCTTTTTCAGTGAAGTACAGGACAATTTGAACAACTAGAAGCACTTAAAACTCTCGTCTCCAGGCTTCCTCCTTACCCTCTTCTAGGTTCTCTATTTTGGCCTCATAATTCTTCTGCAGATAAACTTATATTTTGTAAGTACAAGAAGAGGTCTACGTATAGATCGATATACTTTTTTCTCCTATAAGATGTTGGGATCATAAAACGACGTTCTTTACGTAGCGGATTCATCAAAGCATATCAGAAGCGCGTTCCGCCTAACCTCGTCTCCTAACGTTGACTGTTAGATGGAGGGAATGTGGTTTCGTTACCAGGAAGCACGCGTCTTCCCTCTCCCATCTGCCTCCAGTGCTTCCGTTACAGCCAGGTGCATACCAATCTGGCAGCACCCTGGCGGCATCAGCAGCAGCATCAGCACGGCCATCAAAAGTACACCTCCCGCAAGAGATCCTCAGGAAGGCGAGAGAGCGGAGGCTGGTCGCAGCAAGAGCAACAGGAGCGCGGCCCAGGATACTGCGTTTATAATACAAGGAAATAAATGCTTTTCCTGTTGTATGTGTGTATGTGCGTGTGTGCGTCTGTCTTAGTTTGAGGTATGCATGTGAGTGTGTTTGTCTGTCTGTATGCGTTTGTGTGTGTGTGTGTGTGTGTGTGTGTGTG